TATATATATATATTTATTTATTTATTTATTTATTTATTTATTTATGTAAAATGTCGTCTCTCAATCATTTAGAAAATTATTAAAAACTTACTTACATAAAAAAATTATTAGGAAGCATGTTCTGTACGTGTTAGCTTAATTATTAAAAATGATCTATATATACACAATTTTTTTCGGATGTAAAAATAATTAAGATGACAGAGTAGTATAATAATTTATTACCCATATGAAGTAATAAAAATTTTATTAGGAATTTTTATGTCCAATTATTATTATTATTATTATTTTTTGATGTCAGACCTCATATAAAATTTCTTAATAAAATGATGGAAATTGTATTGAGAAATTTGTCGCTGAAAAGTAATAAACATTAATAAAATAATAAAATAATTGATTCTTTTTAAAAGACGAGTTATACGCCTCATTTTAACACACGTTTTACGTACGTTTAACTATTTTTTATATTCATATAGATCATTCGATATATCTATGATATAATTCTTGAAATGAGTTTCGACAAGATATAAAAGATTCCTGGATTCAACTAGCATACAATCATCGAAGAATTTTTAAAGTTAATTTGTTATTAAAATTCTCGAAATATTAATTTGAAACAGCATACTTTGACGTGCCGTAACGGTTGACTGGTTCATGCACCATTATTGACGTGAAATACTAGGCCACGAGAACTTTAAAATAATATTAAGAATGAATTTTTGTAATACTTTTCTCCCTAGAGCTGGACATGGTCCGGTTCGGTTCGGTTCTCGTTATAACCGAACCAACCCGAAATTTTCGGGTATTTAGTAAGTGGAACCGTCGGGTCCAAATTTAATTACGGAACCGTTCGGGTTCGGTTCCATTCGGTTCGGTTCCGTATTATAATTAAATTTTTTAATTTATACAAAATTACGTTAATTTAATTAATGATATATTTAATATTAGCGCTTACAAAATAACGTAGTTCAATCTTATGTGTTTCACGTCTCTCTTTGCTGAACTCTTTATAAATTTGATTATTAAAATCACAGAAAGAGAAAGATAGCGAGCTAAAAATAATTAGAGAGATGTTGTAGAGCTTTAATTCGATTTTCTCCGGTAGAAACGACACTACAGTAGAATAATAGATTTGGATAAAATTGAGGTCAATTTGATTAAGTCGATTTTGAACTGAATATTAGAAATAAGAAAATCATATTTTGTGGTTTGAACTAAATTACCTAGTTAACAAATTTATTTAGAAAAAATAAAATAATTTTACTTATTTAAAATAAATTAATAAAAAAAATTACGGAGATTCGGTTCTTATTCGGTTTTTCGGATCTTGGCCTAGAACCGAGAACCGAACCATACCCGTCGGTTCTTGATTCAAATACCCGTTCGGGTATTTAACTCGAGAAGAACCGTCGGGTTCGGTTCTGTTCGGTTCGGTTCGGGAGTTTTGTCCAGCCCTATTTCTCCCAGTCAACAGTCTCTCCTCTGCCTTTCACTGACACATCATTTTAAGTATTATGCCCTAGATCTAATCGATTTAGGTTGTAAACACTTTTAATATATTTAATGTATTTAATTTTGGCAAGATTTATTATTTATTTAAATTAATTTTGTGATAAATAATATTAAATAATAGAGTTCGAAAATCCAAGTTTAAGTGATTTGTTAGTTTCAAGGAGTTGTGATTGTGAGATACAAATTACGTATGATTGGATCTTGAATAATCTGTGGTTATAAGTAATAACGAGATACGGATATTGTTATTACAGATAGACCATCACGTGTGGCATTTCTCACTTGTGAAGTAAGTAGCTGATCTCACAAGTTAAAGTGTGATGACACTTAAACGAATACGTGGATGTTTTGTTATAGAACAAAATATTGGAGACCCGCTAAGAGATTCCACATGGATAACTATCTGAATGTCAGTGGTTAATCTCTAACGTTCAGTAGTGGAATTGGTCTTATGACTTGAGGTCATCATAGTGCCTTATATGAGGACAGTCATGCTTTGACGGTATTGGATGTTGCTTTACCAAGGGCCGCTAATACGACATCATTCGGGTATGTCAAGAACCATATGAAGGTTGTGAATGACCAATAGAGGATTCGTCACTCTTAGATAGTAAGAGATCGCGATCTGCATTTCGTTCAATTAAGTCAATAACAAAATCCTTGGCCAAGGTATACACATAAGTTGAAGAGGAATTTTCGACTTATATTGACTTAATAGTAGAATGAAAAATATGATCGATAATCGAGTTTGACACACTTCCATATCTCGTAATTGATCGGATCACATTAACGAAGGGATTATAGTTTCATGGTAAATGAATAGCTTTGGTTTTGTCATACAATGTGACATTTTTCGTCACATGTGTTGCCCTGATACATTGTTAGATGTCAATCTGTGACGGCGAATGTGAATTTGTGATAAATTAAAAGGGTGTTTAATTTATTAGTTTTGATTATATCAAAATAATATTTCACGTTGTTAGGTATCGTGGTCGGGAACCTGATGGGTCGCACACAAAAGAGAATTGGAAGATTGCAAATTGCAAATTAATTAATTTAACAATCGTTGGATAAATTAATTAATTGGATTGGTTATTTATAGCCCCGAATTAATTAATTGGATTAATTAATTCACGGACCGAATTTAATTAAATGGATTAATTAAATATTGGACCGAACCGGGCCGAGCCTGTTTAAGCTTATATAAATACATGGCTAAGGTTTTAGATCCATATAATTTTTATAATTCTTGCTGGCACAAGAGGAAAAACCCTAGCAGTTGCAGTCTATTCTCTGTGTGGATTTTATTGGAGGCTGGACAATTGGACAACTGTGAGAAGCATATTCAAGTTGCTGGAACAAAGATAACGCAAAGGAGTTTGCAAATTCAAGAAAATGTATAATTCTCATAATAGTTCTTATCTAAATACAAATATGAATCCTGGTGGGAATTGAAATTGTTTTATTTTCGCTGTGCATGTTTAAGTAAATTCCCAACAGTCATCGTCCTTTCGAAATTCTGTAAAGATTCTGTGAATTTTCTTCTATACGTCTAACATTATTGCAATTATCAATCTCATTGTCACATTCTATAAATGAATGGCATGACTCTATCGATTTGTGTAGTCAGATTCGTTAATATTACCATTGAAAATGGAATGTCAGGCAGTTGACATGGGCAAAGGGGGAGTGTGCACATATAATGTTCGACTCAACAAACACGATTCGACACTTGGGTTAGATCTCATTTAGAAAAGCACACTGGCAATAATTGTTTGTACTAATGAGTTCTCCATGAATGCTCAATTTCACATGACATGACATGAACATGTGATTGTTGCTTTCGTTGGCCTTATGCCACTAACAAATCACCAAACACCATTAAGCAACCTTTGTCCACTAATGAAAAAGTGTTCCATTAGCGTGTATTACTTCAGTTATTGGCAAAGAGTTAGTCAATGCTTATTCTCCTGATACTGTCATTACTTCTTCTCTGGGAGTTGAGATCAAGGGGTCCAATGTCAATGCAGCTGAGAGTTCTAGGGAAGCTTCGACTGCTCCCTTCACACGAGTATTTTTTTACTATCTACATAATTCACTCGGACACAAACTCGAAGAAGTCACCAAAAAAAAAAAAAGAAATTTAAAAAATGTAAAAATAAATAAATGACAAAAACCCGACAAAAAATGCACATTGTTTTATTTTTATGTTCAAATTGTCGAGCCAACTTATCATCATAGCGTTCTAGAAAATATACTTCACGCCATTGCCAATGTCATGTATATTATTCTGTCAAAGAACTATACATTCAACAACCCACGATCAAATTCACATGCAAATGCCAAGATGTAATTAAAGTTAGGGTTGGGCAAATCTCCCGAACCGAACCGACTGAAACGAACTTGACGGTTCTTATCAAATTAAATACCCGAACGGGTATCTGAATTGAGAACCGACGGGTACGGTTCGGTTCTAGACCAAGAACCGAATAAGAACCGAATCTTTCTAATTTTTTTTATATTTATTTTAATTTTAATTTTTTCTAAACAAATTAACAATTTCTAAATCCAAATTTTTAGGCCAATTACCCATTTTATTGTCTCATTTCTTAGCCCAACAAGATCCAACCTACTAAATAACCCTAAACACCTACACTAAAGTGCATAACGCCGTCTCGGCTCTCGCAGCCTCACTGACATTTCAAAACTTATACA